CCATCCTTTACATATCTCCTATGACTGATAAAAAAAAACCACGTTCTAGTGCATCAGGATTCAGGCGTTGGGGTCAAGGTCGGGGAGTGCTCGCAATCGTGGACCCGCTGTGTCGAACCCTCAACATAAGTAATGGGTACATATAGCAAAGAATTTGGGGTTTCCCCAAAATAGTAATTTAAATCAAGGTCCTTAACAGCAACCCCAAAAGAGGCGAAACCCAAAGTAAACAAAGCCTGCTACAGTACCAAGACCTGGAAGAACCCTACTCTACGAGGAAAACTCCTCTCCGATGCAAACGTTTTGTGGTGGACCCCAGCAAGTCGACAGTCTGGGTCCCACACCTCCAGCGCCCGTGCCTGACAAGAAGGCTTTGGCTTGGAACTTACGCACTCCGTAAAGCAGACATGCAACCCAATCGTGGAAATTTTCAGACAACCGCGCAGTAGAAGGGGACAGACGCCCATTTCCAAACATTAGCGGTTCCCCATTTAATTACCTCAACATGCTCTCAAAGCCGCCCCCAAGTTTTGGAAACCCTCCAAGTTATTCAATGCTCAGTTTGGGGGGGGGGGGGAGGGGGCGGGCTCAGTCAGGATCCTTTCAGCTTCAAGTTTCAGGTTTGGGTTTAGTTTCCAAATCTTGGAAACCATTAAGGCCTATGGCTGTCGGGATCCGTGTTCTCAGCTGGCAGAAACCACTCTCGTACTTCTAAAAGAAAAACCACTGCGAGGGGACAAAACACATGTTGAGAAACCATGCGAATCCGGAGAACGGCCGCCAGCCTACATCGTCCTGGAGAAGAAGATGCAAAACCATTCAAGCCGCACGTCTACAGGCAACTCAGTAAACACGAACCGACAGCGGCAGGCCCGGTTTCAACAGAATATGAGACTTGAGCCGCAAATCCAAATTGAAAGGTAAACAAAAGGCCGAAGTTCCCAACACAATGGATGCACCCCATCAGATTCAGAAAAAGCGAATGTGGAATCCTATGATCCCTGTACGCTCCCTCAGACCCCAAAGCCAAATGGCAATCTAAGCAAGCCTTATAGGAACCTTAATACAGTACGGACCGTATACTCATCTTACAAACCCAAAATGTCTTTAGAGTCCCTGGAGGCTCCTTTTTGAGTAACTCTCATATGAGCCATAGTCTAAACTCCTAGCATCCCCCTTAATAACCCCTATAGTAGTCCCCTATATAATCCCCTATATAATCCCCCTTTAAGGAGTTTAGACTATAGTACATATATGCTCCCATACCCTCGAGCCTGCTCGCGTACTTCCTCGGTCGCATCGCTGAGCTCCCGCCGCTGGTCTGAACGCTCCTGCAGATGGGCTACTCTCAACATCATGGGCCCTTTTTGCTATAGGTCATACTAAGGAACGTAACATTTAAGGGTACCAAAACGGGACCTTAATTTTGGGAATTCTCCAGATAACCTCCCCCCAACCAGCGTGGAATTGCAATAGGAGCCCTCGGAGGTCCCCCTTTTCAGGGTTCCAGTCCTAACGGTGGGTCCCTACTTTTCCTGGGTCTTAACTATGGGCCCCTCAATTGCATTTGCAGGGTTAGGAAAGGGGACATACAAAATACATGAGGACCCTTGGATGAAGTACCCATACCATAAACCCTAAACCCCTGAACCCCTAAAAACCCTAAACCCCTGAACCCCTAAACCCTAGGGCCGCCCAGGGTTCCAACCTTAGAGGGAGGGTACGGTCCTTCCTGGGTGCCCATGTCATGTGAGTTCAAGGGCGCCTTGATAGAGTGAAAGGGGCTGTAGAGATAATATGCAATAGCGTTTAGAGTTTAGGGGTTTAGGGGTTTAGGGTTTAGGGGTTTTGGGTTTAGGGTTTTTTTACAACCCTTCGGACTTTTCGTCTGCCCGGCTCGGCAACGGGTTTTATCTCGCATTTACAGTAGCAAAGCAAAGCGACATCTCGTGGTATCAACACAGAAGATCAGCAATGCTGTTTCCTTTACCGGGGTTTAGGGTTTAGGGTTTAGGGGTTTAGGGGTTTAGGGCTTAGGGGTTTAGGGTTTAGGGAGGCTTTCAGCTGGTTTCTTGTTGAACTACTACTAAACATGATCATTCTTAATCTATATGGGGCCCAGGTATACATAGACATGTAAAGTGCTCTTCAACAAGAACCCAGTCAAGGTGTGTCGTAGGGTTAGATGCTTGAGAACCATCTGCATAGAAAGGTTCCGGAAGCAAAGCCTATGCTCTCTCCTTCCTTGCTTTTGTTGGAGAGGGCCGAGGGAGGGCATCAAAGCTGCCTGTAGAAGCTGGGGGTTTCCCCTGCTTAGGGATGGGCTCCTGCCTGAAAAGGGTGCAGCATGTGACCATCTCCAAAGATATTATCAGGAAATATGCAAGTGAGCAATGCCAAAGTAAAGCACATTCCATAAGTGGGAATTTTGCAAACAATCTCAACATGATCCATAATCCCTCTTTGTCACCGGGGTCCCTGGGGCCTCCCTTTGTGAGAAGTTCACCATCATTCCTCGCTAACCAGAGGTACCTCATTTCTAGAGGGGCTACATAGGGATTATAGGGTATATAATAGGGTTGAATTGGGATAATGGAAAAGAAAATGGAGACTACTGTATCATAGGTTGTAGGGATTATATAGGGTATAGAATTTCGGGGATCTATTGGGATAATGGAAAAGAAAATGGAAACTACTATAATGGGGCTATATAGGGTTGTAGTCTTTTGAACTTCATCTTGCAACCGTCGAGCCCTGTACAGAATCTTGAACCATTCAGTTCTCGGAGGGGCGTAGAAGCAGTCAAAAAGAAGCTGGAAACTGCTATATGATGTTTGAGGTTTTGGGGTTTAGGGCTGAACCCTACAGCACTAAGCTGTTCAGCTGGATCATGTTGAGGGTTTATGTTCAATGGCCTAGTTAGGGTCTAGGCTTCAGGGTTTAGAACTTTAGGTGGCCCATTTTTGGGTTTTGCTTGGAGGGCCCAGTGAACCTTGTGAGTAGGCTAAGACTTGGGATAACTTGGGTTGGCGAAACGCTGATAGCCCAGCTTCCATGTAGTTGCCCAGCGCCTTCTGCATTTGATCTTCAATCCCTATTTTGGACCATTAATCCCTACATCCTAACTACACCATTGAACCCTACACCCTAATCCACCCCAAATACTAAACCACCCTAATCCCCAAGCCCCCAAATACACCCAACACCCAAAACTACCTTAAAACCTAGCTAAATGATCCTAATCCCCAAGCCCAAGCCCCTAAAACACACACACAAAAACTAAACAATTGGGGAAACATATTTTTCCTAACCCTAAACCCTAAACCCAAACCCTAAACCCTAAACCCTTAGTACACACAAAAAGTCCTTGGCCAGGCGTATCATCTCGAAGAGGCGGACCCCGGCATCCGTGGCAGACATGGCCTGGCAGAGATTCTCATTTACTGGAAGGTGCATGAGAGGGATTTAGGGTTTAGGGTTTAGGGTTTTAGGGTTTTAGGGTTTAAGGTTTAGGATTTCGGGCTTAGCAAAAGGAAAAGCCACATGGGAACTACCGCCTCTACAAGGGTGACACACTGAATTACCACTTCCAACTAAGGCAACTTTCTAAACTACCGCCTCCACTGAAACGACAATCCCAGCTACCGCCTCCACTAAGGCGACTTTCTGGACTTCCATCTCCACTAGGGCGACATCCTTTCTTAAACTAGCGCCTCTACTAGGGCGTAGGCCAGAACTCCGCCTCCATCCACTAGGGCGACATCATGAACTACAGACTCCACTAGGACGGCACCCTAACCCTAACTACGGCGACACTAAAGAATGATCACCTCCACTAGGACGATACCCTGAGCAACGAGACCATTAGGCAGCTAGGGCGATACCCATAACGACTGCTTCCACTAGGGCAGCGCCCACACGCGAATCACCGAGAACAAAACAACACCCGCGCAGCATCCCCAAAAAACAAAAACGAGCAAGACCCCCACATCCAAGATCAGCGAAAACAGCGACGAAAAAGCACCAAAAGATCACGGGAAAATCGCCTCTTCTTGCAGATGCACAAGCCGAAATTTTTTACCGACGTGACATATCACAGAAAATGAGGGCAGATGTGGAACCACAGCAAATTCACCGAATATGCACCAACATAGATTCAAACATGCGCCCCAGTGGTTGGCAGACTCGAGGATCTTGAGACTAGCCCAAGAATTCAGGTCCAGAATCTTCGCGGACGTCTTTTTCATATGCTGGCTCTGCAAGTCTTGCGCAAGAATGCAGCAAGCTTCCGGCGGTTGTAAGCTTGTAAATCTAGGGCTGGCTCTTTGGCATACCCTTCAGCACTCCGGTCAGTTGCAGAGGCTTGTCCTGTGCCGGCTGGAGTTCCACAAGAAGCCTTTCAAAATCCCTCCCAACTAAATCTTCGTAGGCTGCATCTTCATGCAGCTCATTCTTTGCATGATTCCTGTCGTCCCTCATGGCATGGATCGCTTTTTAGAACGGACGGGCAACTTAGGATGAGCCCTCCTAATATGGGAGCTTCGCAAACAATCACCCTGCAGAATCCTTAACAAGGACCAGCAGAATTCTCCGATGTTCCTCAAATGTCCCGAGGATGTGAGGCCCGGGAATTTCCACCATGATGGAACTAAGCTTCAAGACGGCAACCTGCTTCGGCGTCCAGGCTTTCGGGGCCAGCCCAAAAAAGTGAGGCTTCGAAAATGGGGGTTACAGATGAGAACCCTGCAGGTATATGGAAGAGGACTACGAAGAGCTTTTGATTAAGGGGTGCTACACGGATTGTTTAAGTCTAGTTTTCAGAAAGTCCAATGTCTGCCAGAAGCCAAGTTAAGGAGTCCTTGTGGGAATGCTCGTAGCTTTGGGCCTCTGCGGTTGCGTATCGTTTCTTCTAGAACTTCTCTTTTCACTTCTGCCTCCGGATGGGGATGAACAACGGAGAACCCGCATCGAAAAGAAAATGATAAATGAAATGGAAGTGGAAGATTTCTCGGGGCTGATGGACCCCTAAACCCTAAACCTTAAACCCTGAACATTATGGCCCCAGGTTCCCTATATAATAATAAGCCTGCTATAGGGCACCTCAAAAGAGCCTGCAGATGATGTCAGTAATTACGAAATGCCCAAAATCACCTTCACCAATGCCAAATATTGGGTACTGCCCACACCCAGTAACAGTCTATACTAGGCGTCATGTTAAGGGCTATATATAACCATATGATAACTATTATCAAACTGTTGCTGAGTGGGGGCAGTACTCAAGCCAAATACTCGGATGAGCTATAGTCTAAACTCCTCGTCTCCCCCGTAGCAACCCCTATAATACTCCCCATAGAATCCCCTATATAACCCCCAACAAGGAGTTCGGACTACAGCCCAGATGTGAAGCCCAGATTGGCTTCTCAAAGCCCGTGTCCAGCTTGTGCTCGTGCAAGGCGCCGTTGGTAGCATTGCCTTTGCAACACACACGCAATTAAAATGTCTCCAGCCAAACCAGCACCCAAAAACCCGCCCCCCACCCCCCAAACAAAAGGTTCTGTACACCATTACTCTGACATCTCCAGCATACTACACCTCGTACATGGGCTGACGCATCAAAAAAAATTGCTAAGCATCAAAAAGAAATTTGAATCTAAAAATCAAGAAAAAAGTTGAATCTTGGCGCCCCGACATCAAAAAAAAATTAAATAAGCATCAAAAACAAATTTGAAGGCCAGAAAATAGTAATAGTAATAGTAATAGTAATAGTAATAGTAATAGTAGTAGTAATACTAATAGTAATAGTAATAGTAATAGTAATAATATTAGTAATA